TTTATGTTATGACCTTGGCTTTTGTCAGAAACTTGTACAAGCAGTCTGCCACTATGTTTATGATAAAAAAGAAAGTCTTTTAAAATATTGTTCACCACATAATGTGGTGTTCCTACATAAAGTTTAAAATGAAGCATTTTATTAAGAACTTGAAGGGAGAAAAATAATTCCAATATTCGGAGCATGAGAACTACGCTTTACTTTATCTCCTTGGCAGCCAGGAAGCTCAAAGGAGGATCTGAATCCCAATTATTGCCACTATATCTGCCCACGTTGTAATTTGGAGGGAGTGCTTAAGACTGATAAAAGTGCCCACTTATAATCACACAGAATAGGCTCAAATCCCCATTTCCTGCTGCAGACCTGTGACCTTGAGAATGTTTATTAACCACTTCTGAGGTGGGTTTCTCACCAACGTGGGAATAGTGATACTTGATAAGGTGTTAATGGAATAATGTACCAAGTCCCCTGCATAGAGTAAATGCTCATTGTTATTATGATTCTCTTTCTTATTGCTACTTCCTGATTTCTGTCTGGTTTACATTTCCCTATTTCCTTGTACATTTCTTTTGTTGTAAATTTTCTCAAATCCATTGTAGAGACAAGTTATATGCAATTTTTTTTTAAGTTCTATTACCCCCCAGGTAGCATAAAAGCGTTAGGCGTCCATTCGCTCAAAATAAAATTAGTTCATGAACTCAAAAACTATTATGCTCTTTCTTCCAGCTAAATAATGCCAGTTTCTGTAACCTCATCTCGTATACTTTAATGAGGTTTCCCTCAGGGCCTGTGTTTTGCACTCACAGTTTTCCATTTCTTAGTGTAGAGGCAATTTTGAAGAATCATTTTCCTTATTATAGATATGCCTTTTGTCTGCCGCCTTTCCATTTCTGAGATGGCACTCACTCATAGCTTTATATTCCAAAACAGGAAAGCTATTAATGACTTTCTCAGTTAGAAATTGACACAGCAGAATCTCTTATCTCCTTGTGTTCTCCAGAACCGAAAATCATGTATAAGAACATGTTCCGTCCCTAGAAATGATGGTTTTCTGCTTTTACGATTCCGTCTCCTTACAGGTTTTGTTTTTGCTAATGTACTGTCCTGCATAAGAGTATCTTAAAACATACCAAACATGCAAGGCCTGTTCCAAGATTTTAAAAAAATCCAAGAACTTATCACTTAATTCAAAACATTTCAACGATTATGAGTTCTTTAAGTTCAAAAGCAAAACAAGTAAAGAGAACATTGTTGGCTCCTCCACTGCAAATAGGCAACAAGCCAGCGGATGGAATCGTACTGCCCGTGAAGCGAGGCACAATGTGATCAGATTGTTTTCAGCTGCTCATTCATTGGACCCACTTTTTCACGGGTCACTTAAAATCTATGCTTAACACAGCCCATCACTAGGGACCCTTGATTACAACCAATATTTGGAAACTTACGAGGTTACTGAAACTGTTACTAATATTCTTATGGCTTTCTTCTTAGTGACTATTGCCTATGACCAAGGTAAGAGAAGATAAAAGAATTGCTCAGTGGGCTGGAGAAAAGCTGGGAGCAATTTAGTGACACCCTTAACTTCCTCATCTCACAGAGAATGGGAGAGCCACGCCTCTCCTTTGCGGGAGGAAGAAGGGAGGTCTCTGTCAGACGAGCTTTACCTTAGAGATTAGGAAGAATTCCGAGGTTGTAAAACATTGGAATCACTATCTAGCAAGAGAGTGTCTTTTATCCAGGGCTATTTAAAAACAGGACAGATCCTCATCTATCTCCCACGGCTCAGATGTGAAGGGAGAATGATTAAATTGCTTCTTCCAGCCCGATGAGTCTATAGTGTAAACTGGAACACTTGTGAATGCCCGGGGGAGGCGTGGCCACAAAGGACTCTCCCGTGGGGCATCAGCCGTCCACCTGCTGCGTTCAGGAAGCAGCTGTGGCGTCTTTACGAAGCACACCTGTTCAGGACATGCTGGCGTATAGGTTTATGTTCTTCCTGCATACTTTTTTGTCTCTGTCTTTATTTTCTTCTCTCTCTGCACCATCTACTACTCACTTATCATGTCGTGTTTGATCTATTTTTCATAGCCACCTTAAACCCTTTCTGGAAAAAGAAGGGACATAATTGAATAAAATAAATTCCATTAGTTAAAGTTTTGAGGGCCTTTTAAATGCCAGGAGTCATGCCGGGTCCAGGGGAATATAGAGAGCAGAGAGCCCTGGCCTCCAGGCCTCCACAGCGTAGGGCTGAGTGTAGACAGGTCGACTAGCAATAACACAGTAGGAATCCTGGCAGGGGAACTGGGACTCCTGTGGGATCACAGAGCAGAAAGGCCCACTCTCTTGGGAATGGGAAAAGTGTACTGGGAGAGGTCATAGCAGAGTTAGTACTGAAGTATAATCTCGAAGCCGAAATGCAAATCCAGCCTGCAGGTGTGAATGGGGAGGATGTGGGCAAAGGTGGTGTGGGGAGAGTATGGTCTTTGAGGAACGGCGTTGAGGCTGCCCATCTTATTCCAGGTGAATGCCATTATTCCAATCTAGTAAATTACTGACAAACATCTTCCTTGACTAATGCTTCCTTCTGTGGCTTTGTTCCCACCATGTGGACAGTGATCACTGGTGTAATTTGACACACAGTTTCAGGAGAGTTGCCTGGTTTCCAGGGAATCCTGGTAGAAATACGACAGCAGAGGTGTCTTCAACAAAAGAAAAGCACTCTATGATCTTTTTTGAGGCCCTGATACTACATGGATAAAAATCTCTCATCCTTCTCAACATTAATGCAAAAAAACCCTACTCGAGCACAAACTTTACAAATTAAGGGACCCCTCTCCAAAAAATTGTTATATAGGCACCATTGCAAATACACTTGACTGTTTAACGTTTGCAATTTCGATTTTGTAAGGAACCCTGGAAGGCCATGATTAGGAACGATTCATAGGTTTGCTGCAGAATGAACTTCAGTGCGAGGGCTCCGGGACTGATGTGAAGGGACCTTTGGCCAGTGGGTGAGCCTGGCCCACTGCCTTCGTGTAGTGAGCCTTTCTTCCTAACGCAGTACTAGTGGTACTCTTATTTACTGAGCATTTTCTATGCTAAGAGCTTGATTTGCATTACCTCATTAAATTCTGACAACCACCCATTTACCCATGAGGAAATGGAGGTCTGAAAAGACTGAGTAAGCTGTCCAGGGATGCACAGCTTGGAAGCTGGTGGGTGCTGCACCAACTCGATCCTGGTTTGGTCTAACTCATAATTATGTACTTGACCATTTCATTTAATTTCAAGTAGTTTTCATCTCCATAATCATACTGTCAGATGTTATTAGTCCACATGAAGTGTGGGTACATTGAAGAAATGTTATGCTCTAGCAGGAGCCTTCCCTTTTTTGGAGATTTTTCCTAAGTTATCTGGATAAAGCCTGGAGGGTGGTCAGCCCACTGAGATCGTCCCCAAAATGGCCAGAAGAGCCAGGGTGCCTGTGAGGTGGGTGGGTCGTTCATGCTTTCTGGGCTCGCGGCTTGGCTTGTCTTCCTGAGAGGAGGACCGGTTTCCAGGCAACGCTGTGGTCCATCTATTTCATACTGTCGCAATGACAAGCATTTTTTAAAAAAATTAAACATATGGTACCAATAGTTGATGAGATGCTTTCTGAAGTCTGGCTTTTCTGCCTGTAGTAATTCCATGGTTACCGCCAATGGAGCCAGAGGAATTCCTAACAAGAAACTCAAATAATGAATGAAAAGATCTGCCACATGGTCATTAAGGACTAAGATTCAGAATGCCAACACTGGGCTTTATCAGGTTAATGGGCTTTTTACAAGTGCCCTGGTCTTGGAAGAGGGAAAAAGTACAGGCCTAAATTACTGCTCAATAGACTCGTCTAATCTAAAGAGTAGACCAGTGCTGGGGTCTGGTCCTCATGGCTGGTATACCAAAAATCCCAACTTGCATTTGATTGTGTATATAATAAGTTATAATCTCTGGGATCTAAGCTGCATGATTCAACACATTTGTAGGCCTTAATTTTCCCTTCTTGAAAACAAAAGTGTTATTAGTTGTACAATAACATGTACGTTTATAGCCAGGAGGCCCCAAAATGTACATTTAAATCCCAATTTTAGTGTACTTTGATGAAGTCAGAATCACTCTTGCTTGTTTCAAAAACAAAGCCCTTATGCAAGTTCTCTATGATGCCCTTTCTCCCTTGTTTTAATAGCTATCTGTATCCAAAACAAACGAGTTATTGCTCTGCTTCAGCTCAGCTCTTTCTAAGTGCTCAATGTTGTAAACAATAGAATATATTTTGTTTTTCTCATCAGATGCAATGTTTTCTACAATAACATTGACTCTGAGGGAGACACAGTCCTCTGAGATCTGATCTTATTGAAAATGGTAGAGTTTCAAGAAGATTACTAGGATATCTGAGATCCTTAATAGATATTTCAGATGGCCCGGAGACATTCTGTAGAGTGAAAGAGCTGTGAATGGGGGAGGAATGACCACCTCATCCAGCAGGGACCACCTCTCATTCTGGGCTGAGTTTAGGGTCTTGAAGCACTAAAATGGGACCGCTAAGATGTTCAGTGATAATAACCATCATTTACCCTAAGGAGGGATAAAATTGGATCCAATTGAATTGATATTGGAGAACCAGAGAAATGGCACCTTTGGGGCAGGCATACCCTCAGGGCCATTCTTCAGACCTTCAGAACTTTTAATCCCAAGTAGGCTAGAGGGAGCAGGAAGAGGTGGACTCCAGCAGAGTGTGGAAATGCTTGGCCCCTTGGTGAGCTCGTCTTTTCACCCTTACCTCCCTGTGTGAACCCAGAGCTACCGCACTTGTCCTGAGGAAGATGCTGTGAGACGTTTCACATCTTCCTAGGAGGGCCGCTCACTCACAGCTCATTTCTCCCAGCACAGCCTTGGTTTCCTGTGAAGACAGTTACTCTGTAGATGGCAGATTATCCCAGCTCATTGTCTCTTTGCCCCCACAGAATCTGTACCAGAACAGGTTTTTAGGCCTGGCTGCCATGGCGTCCCCATCTAGAAACTCCCAGAACCGTCGCCGCTGTAAGGAGCCACTCCGCCACAGCTACAACCCCAGCCAGTTCCACAGCATGGCCATCAGGAATGGCCCCCATGGCACCGTCACCATCCCCCGCTCCACCAGTGACACCGACCTGGTCACCTCAGACAGCCGCTCCACGCTCATGGTCAGCAGCTCCTACTACTCCATAGGGCACTCACAGGACCTGGTGATCCACTGGGACATAAAGGAGGAAGTGGATGCTGGAGACTGGATCGGCATGTATCTCATCGGTGAGTAGAAGAGCACTCAGCCAGACTGGCCACCAGGGTGCCAGAGAGATGATGGTCTCAGGAGTGTGGTTTGGGCGTTCAAGTATATTATTCATCATTCACTTTTACATATGCTTTAATATTGCAATAAACTATAATTTAATTAAAATGCACACTTCACAATCAAATGTATTGTACACCAAATTCTAACATGTTGCAGACCACACACTGAGGCTTCTCTTGCCATTTCTATTCAATGGAAGAAAATCAAGGGATAGCGGGACGAGGTGTGGTTGAACACAAACGTCATTACCATTTGCAAATATAAAAGCTCTTCTACTTATGAGTGAGTTAATATCAAAAGCCTGTTTCCAAATCCATGTGTTTATAAGACCAAAGCAACACCATGTATGCAACCATCTTATGCACATCTATTGGAGGTGATTTCACTTCTGTTTCCAACATGATCATGAGCCTCTTTTCAATTACCCTTTCAACATCTTACTGCTTTGTATTCACAAGACATAATGGCATTGAACAGACAGCGAGAGCAAGCACACTGCAGTGTGATGGCTGAAAGGAAAATGAATGCACAAATCTGTGTGCTGGAGAAAATAAATCTCACAAATTTGAAATGATGAAAATAAACTTACATGAAAAATATATTTTATCTAAATTACATGATAGAATCAGTCATGATGGAAACTGATGCATTTACTCTGGTAACTCAGCGAGCGAAGGTGTAATTGCTGAGGGGTCATGAGAGTCAAGTTCAAGAGAGGCCAGGCCTGCTACCTTCATCTGTGCACTGAACCCCTGACACGCTCAGACACACGGTGCCTGATTTCATATCATCGAATATCACAGGCACAATCCATTAGGATTGCTATAAGTATTTTACAACCTGGACCATTTTTCTGATAAAATAAAAGGGATCTTATTTAACTGGCTGTTAGGGAAATATTTTTGGCTGTCTTGAAGGTTTTGCGATCAGCTAAGTCAGTGTATTTACAATACACACATTGTTGTAAAGATGGAGAAATGTAATTTTTGAAATTTTTACACAAATAGTGGTTACTAGCTAAATTGGACTTCCAAACAGATAAAATTTAATTCGGTTTAAAGATAGTTTTTGAATAGAAGCGTTTGGACACCATCATCCTAGAACAGAGCTTGCAAAATGACAGCCTACCCAGCATATTTTGTTTAGTCCATACTGTTTTAAATTTGACTCATTATCAAGATTTTAAAATGTAGAGATTTCACATTGAAATCCAAATTTCTAGCTTCTTTCACAGAAGCCCTCAATTTGCAGACTGAGGCTGTAATTCTGCTTGGCGCTAATCCGCTGGAATTAAGCATCTGCTGCCCCTTTAGACGGGCCTGTACCCTTGGGTTTCGCCACAGGCCCCCTCCCACCCATCTCTACTTTAACTATGAATGTTACTTGTTTAGCGCCTTAGGCAATTACGCATTGGCCCCAGACCTAATTTTGAATCAATTCCTTATAGCTGTACCTTCCTGCAACGGTGAGTGTCAATGCCATTCATTCCGGGGAACAGCTAGGAGAGGAGCATGTGTGGGCAGAAGGTGAGACAGCCAGGGACGTAAAGGAATGGATGGATCTGGAGCTCAGCCCTACCTCTGGGCTGGAGGTGTAGTTTGGGGTAATTTGCACCTGGGAGTATGTAAGGTTGCTCATGGCTTGAGGGCAGAAAGAGAGCACCAGAAGGCACCTATCAGAGAGAGGCAGAGGAGGAACTCAAAAAGGAGATAGAGAAGTGGTGAACATGTAGGACAAAAACTAGGAGACCACATCATCAAAGACGAGAGAGGGCGTTAGAGGGAAGAAGGGGCGGTCAGCAGTATCGATTGTCATGAGACTCTGAGAATGAATGAGATCTGGTGTTAACGTGACAATTTGACTGAGACAAAAGTAAACACAGCTCAGCATCTTGGAATCTTAATCTGACAGTTTGTTCTTCTCATAGTGGCTGCACAAATATAACTGTGAAGCTATTTAATGCAAAATGCCAACACTTTCGGTGGCGTAGCTTTTCAAAAATACTTTCCAAATCCAAAATTATCTGTGAATCTTAAACGTTCATAATTTGTAGGTCCTTAGTAACTTATCTGCCAGATTTGCAGTGCCTTGCCAGAGATCAAATCGTAGATCCAGGCCTAGAGTTTTAGAGGTGGTGATTTCACCTAATCTGTCATTTCACAAATGAGGAAATGCCAATTCAATGTCTCTCAGGGCCCTGCCGCTGCCCATCCTTCTAGCAGACTCCATGCTGACCATAGGAACATTCCAGTGTGACATCAGGTATGGGCCATTCCACGTGAGTGGACTATCTGAATGTCCACATGAGGCCAGTTTTTGATGCTTTCAGCATCTGACCTCTAGAGCTCTCCAGGCAAACATGACTTTCCTTCTGCTGTACAGAGTGAGATGTCTGGGTGTGGAGGGGATGTGTGGCCCTGCTCACTGACACTGTCACCAAGTCACTGGTGCTGTCCTTAGCCAGGACCCGAGGAACTCACTGATGGGACAATAACAGCAGCATTACCAATATTTAAAAAGTGAAATCGCATTTGCTTGCCCTCATTTGTGGAGTAGTTCATGAACTACATGAGAGGGATGAAGGATTTTCCCTCCTAGTGGCATAGAATGGGGAAAGATCATGTGGTTTCAGTGACAGGTTGACCTGGGTTAGAATCACATTCTGCCATGATAGGATGTATGGCCTCAGCCAGATAGTGTCATCAGATCTTTGGGTTCCTTATCTCCAAAATGGAGAAAAAAACTTTCTTCTGAGGATCATTGAGCAGAATTGATGTGCATTTACTGTGCCTTTACTGCCTGCTGATCGATACGGTGCATCTTCATTTAACTTGTCAGGTAGCTCTGTTCTCTGGATGCATCGTGGCAAATTACCCTCATTCCCAGGCTGCAGTCAGCCTAGCCTGGGCCCTTAGACATGTACTCAGCTGTTAGAGTTGTACATTATACACAAAAGCTTCTTACCAAACCAACAAGGGTCTGGAAAGAGATTTTAGACGTCAGTAAATGGGCAGAAACTTATGATTCCGTCAAAAACAAGTCCATAAAGGCAGATTTGCTAGAAATCAGTATTTCCGGGAAATAGTTTTGCAATTATTCATTCAGGAATGCCTATGTGATTTTGACAAGTAAAATGTAATTGTTTATGAGTCTTGTACTTAAGATTAAAGATTCATGGCCATGGCTTACTCACACTAAGGGAAGGGACAGTATTGTATCATTTGGTTAGGGTACATAAATTGAAGGATACAATTAATACTTTTAATCATTAGAATGCGAAATTAATGAGAACATATGTATTCAAGTATTTTTCTTCTTTTATAATTGACATATAACATTATATTAGTTTCAGGTGTACAACATAATGGTTCAATATTTGTATTTATTGCAAAATGATCAGCACAATAAGTCTAGTTAATATCTGTCACCATAAATAGCTACGAAGATTTTTTTTCTTTTGATAAGGACTGTTAAGATTTACTCTCTTAGCAACTTTCAATTATGCAATACAGCGTTTTCAACTATAGTCACCTTGCTGTGCATTATCCCCGTGACTTATTTATTTTATGACTAGAAGTCTGTGACTTTTGAGTCCCTTCCCCCATTTCACCTACCCCTCAACCCCTACCTCTGCCAACTACCAGTCTGCTCTTTGTATCTATGAACTTGAGTTTTTGTTTGTTTTTATAAATTCTACATATAAATGAGAGAAATTGTCTTTCTCTTCTGACTTATTTCACTTAGCATAATGCCTCAAAGTCATCCATGTTGTTGCAAATGGCAAGATTAGATTTCACTCTTTTTATGGCTGAATAGTATTCCATTGTATATATATATATATATATATATATGTATACCACATCTTCTTTATCCATTTCTCCATTGATGTACACTTAGGTTGTTTCCATGTTTTGGCTATTATGAATAATGCTGCAGTGAACGTGGGAGTACGTATATAAGAAAAGAAGATATATCTTTTCAAATTAGTGTTTTTGTTTTCTTCGGATAAATACCAGAAGTGGAATTGCTGGATCATATGGTAGTTCTGTTTTTAATCTGAGGAACCTCCATATTTTTTCCATAGTGGCTGCAACAATTTGTATTCCCACCAGCAGTGCACAAGGGTTCCCTTTTCTCCACATCCTTGCCAACACTTATTTCTAGTCTTTTTGGTAATAGCCATTCTAACAGGTGTGAGGTGATATCTCATTGTAGTTTTGAATTGCGTTTCCTTGATAATTGCTGATGTCAAACATCTTTTCATGTACCTGTTGGCAATCTGTAGATCTTATTTGGAAAAATGTCTGTTCAGATCCTCTGCCCATTTTTTAATCAGAGTGTTGGTTATTTTGCTATTGAGTTGTATGAGTTCTTTATACATTTTAGATATTAGCCCATTATCAGATAAATGAATTGCAAATATTTTCTCCCATTCAGTAGGTTGCCTTTTCATTTTGTTGATGTTTTCCTTTCCTGTGCAGAAGCTTTTTAGTTTGGTGTGGTCTCATTTGTTTATTTTAGCTTTTGTTGCCTTTGCTTTTGGTGTCAGATCCAAAATATCATAGCCAAGATCAATGTCAAGGAGCTTACTGCCTATGTTTTCTTCTAGGAGTTCTATGGTTTGAAATCTTTAATCCACTTTGAGGTAATTTTTGTGTATGGTGTAAGGCAGTAGTCTAGTTTCATTCTTTTGCATGTAGCTGTCCAGTTTTCCCAGCACCATTTATTGAAGAGACTTTTTCCCTCTGTATATTCTTGGCTCCTTTGTTGTAAATTAATTGACCGTGATAAGTGTGGGTTTATCTCTGACCTCTCTATTCTGTTCCATTGATCTATGTGTCTGTTTTTATGCCAACATTATACTGTTTGATTACCATAGCTTTGTAGTATAGTTTGATCAGGGAGTGTGATGCCTCCAACTTTGTTCTTCTTTCTCAAGATTGCTTTGGCTTTTTGG